TAGAGGTTTATTCCTTTAGAGTGTCACAAAATAATCAGCCTCAGTGACAGCTGCTCAGAGAAAAGCTTTATTTACTTGTGAAAAGTAAAGGAGATAGTAAGAAGGCATGTTTCCCTAATGAACTTGACTACCTGAGAAGCAGTTTGCCAGGTTTTCACAGCTAGGGTTAGGAGACTGTGCAGGACGTAGAAAAGGGGAAATAGCAGGATCTTTCTTTCTCAGACAACCTGCATCCTCATATATTGCATGTTTAATCTCCAACTCAGACTAGTTTCCTGCTGCTATCCTGGTTTGTGGTAGCCTGGACCCTCTGAGAACCATGTTGGGAAATAAGCTTGGCTGGAACATCCTCCGAAACACAAACTCAAGCAAGCAAACTTTCAGATTCTCTGCCCCTGTTCCCATGTCCCCCTTTTGCCTAAACCTACACTCTTGGTTTTGGGGAGGTAAGCTGAGATAACGTCATGGGAGTGGAGCCTCCATGATGACATTAGCTCCTTATAGGAATGTAAAGAGACTAAAGTGTACTCTCTGCTGAGTGAAGCTACACCTAGTAGATGGCAGCCCCAGGGACAAATCCCTCCACAGACACTCAATCTGCTGGCCCCCCTGATCTGGGGCTTCCCAGTCTCCAGAACTGTGAGAAATAAACGTCTGTTGTTTAACCACCCTGCTTGTAGTCAGTCCCTTGTTATAGCCCAAACTGATTAGGCCAAGGTATGGGCTTCATCACAGGGTCTAGGATCCTTGGTGCTGCTCTGAATGGAGCAGAACTTCTCTAGACTGGGTGAGATATTCTTCATACAGGCCTCTCTGCAGTTTTAACTAGTTTGGTAAGTTTCTGCTACCTGTAACAGGAAGAATCCTTATTAACAAACTTGTAATGTGAAGAAAATAGTCTATGAGCATTACTTCCATTTTTTAAAAAGCACTATTCTTATTTCAACTTGCTAAATCAACCTACTTTCTCCAGCACTCTGGTAAACTACATTCTTGGAAGTCATTAATCCAATGAACTTTCTTCTATTCCCAAGTACCTGGTCTACACTAGCATTTGAGTCTCTTAAGCTTTCCCTTCTCTCTTCAACATTTTTTCTTAATTCCAGGATAATAAACAAACCCAATTCTTTTTCTATTTCTCAAATAGCTTCTTTTTAAATAAAAATCCTTTATTATTTATTTACTTACGAGGGTGGGAGAGAGAGAGAGAGAGAAGGAACTCTCATCTATGGGTTCACTCTACAAATCTCCATGATAGCTAGGGCTGGGCTAAGGCTGAAGCTGGGAGCTCGGAAGTCAATCCAGGTCTCCTGCATATGTAGCAGAAATAAAATTACTTAAGCCATCACTGCTACCTCCCAGGGTCTGCACCAGTGGGAAGATTGAGCCAGAAGCTGAAAGCTGTTATTAAGCCCTGGCTGTCTGATATCGGACATGAGGTCTAATTGCTAGTCTAAATACCTGTCCCTGCCGCCTCATCTTTTTAATTATTTCTTTTCATCTGCCTGTATGAGAAAGAGAGAGAGAGAGAGAGAGAGAGAAAGAAAGAGAGGGAGAGAGGTCTCCCATCTATTGTTTCACTCTCCAAATGCCAGGGCTGGATCAGGCTGAAGCCTGGAGACCAGAACTCCATCCAGTTTTCCCACATGGGTGGCAAGAGCTCAAGCACTCAAGCCATCACCTGCTGCCTTCCAGAGTGTAATAGCAGGAAGCTAGATTGAAAACCACAAACTTCAACTGTAACTGGCATGCTGATATGGGATGTGGTGGTGTATCAGGCAACAGCTTAATGTGTTGCACCTCAACACTCACACCTTACATCCTTTGAAAGTGACTTACATAGCCATCTACTTAACTGTGGATGCTCTTTAGAGTCCAATCTTCCTCCCTAGACTGGAGCTACTTCTCAAACCATTTATCAGAAATATTTGAGTTACAATGAACAGTCTCTCACCTGCAAGAACTTGCTCATTCTCTTCAAAGTGCCATCTTCTTAAAAGGTTAATCTTGGGCAGCCATTGCTGTGTAACAGGTTGGGCCACTGCCTGTGGTACCAGCAAAGCATATGGGTGGCAATTTAAGTCCTAGCTGCTTCACTTCTGATTCAATTCCCTGCTAATGTGTCTAGGAAACCAGTGGAAGATGGCCCAACTTAGGTTCCTGCACCCATGTGGGATACTCAGATGAAGCTTCTCTCTCCCGGCTTCTGCTTGGCCCAGCCCTGGCCATTGCGGCCATTTGGGGAGTGAACCGGTGAATGGAAGATCTCTTTCTTACCCTCCCTCTCTCTCTCTCTCTCTCTCTCTCTCTGTAACTCTGCCTTTCAAATAAATAATAATAAATCTTTATTTTTTTAAAAGATTAATCTTAAGGTTTATCTCCATCCTTAACATTTGTACCAAGTCTTACTTTCATGTCTTGACTTACAATGTGCTGATATTTGGGTTTTCAGTTCAATAATACATCTAAAACTGCCATTATCTTCTGTACCTGGGTCTCTGCTATTTCTGTCTTTGTCAGTTTTTCCAGTGTTTCATTTTCCTAGTCACCAGGTTTCAAACCAGTATTATCTTGGACTCCATTCTCTTTTTCTTGTTATGAAGTCCTATTGATTCTTCTCTTGCAAGAAATTTTTTATTCATTATTTGGTTTTTTGTTTCCTCCTGCAGCAAAATCTATCTTATCTGCTTCTAGTTCCTCTTCTTCACTAGTTTACCTTTCTTCTTACCAGAACAATCCTACCAAAACACCATTTTGATTATCTTTTTCCATGGATATCCATGGCCTGAGAAAAGTCCAAACTTCTTTGAAGTGAAATACACTGTAAGGTTGAGGCTTAACTGCAGTTTCCAGTATTTTCTTCCACTCTGCTGAAAAATAGACTTCTAGACAGGCATTTGCTGCAGTGGTTAATGAAGTAGGCATGAAGCAGGCAGGCATACAGGCTAAAATTGGTTAGATTTGTGAGCTGGAAGACCACGCCTTCACCACGCCCCTGTGTGACTTCATGCCCTACCTGATACCTTCGTCATGCCTCTGTGTGACCTTACACCCTACCTGATACCCCACCACACCCCCATGTGACATCAGGCTCTCCTGACCATACCTGAGTGCCCACCTGCCCACAAGCCACTCCCCTGTGGAAAATACATAAAAAGGCAGGGAGTGTCGCAAAAGGCTCTCTACCTCTGCTGTGCTGCTGGTGATAAGCGGTGGATAGCAGCTCGAGGTGCTTACTGCACGTGGCTCTGGCCTGCTCTCTGAGTGGTGTGGACGCTACTCCAGTTTCCAGACTTTCCCCTCTCTCCTACCTGAACTAAACCCTCACTTTCCTAGATGCCTCTCGCACCAAATAAAAGCTTAAAATGTACCATGCTGCCTCGTTTATCTGTGCCGGTATTTAGAATTCTTCTCTAAATATTAGGCAAGAACCCTCTCGGGCTTATTAATATTGGGAATTTAGTAATAAGCCCATGGTGAAATTGTAAGGCACCCCAAATTCCAGTAGCACATGTGGCACCCGCGAAACCATTTCGAGGGAACTTCAAGGCCCTAGGCTTCCTGGCCTAGACACTCCTCCACGTGGCTGGTTCCTGGTGCTCAGTATGAACCAATATTTACCTCTCTCTTAAATAAAGCTCTCACTCTTCTATGCATCTTTCTTACTAAATAAAGGCCTAAAAGGTACCATGCTGCCTCGTTTATCTGTGCCGGTATTTAGAATTCTTCTCTAAATATTAGGCAAGAATGCTCTCGGGCTTATTAATATTGGGGGTTTAGTAATAAGCACATGGTGAATTCGTATGGCACCCCAAATCCTGGTAGCATATGTGGCATCCCGGATGGCGCTTCTGGGGAACTTTAAAGGGCCACATTTTTATATAAATTTTAGGGAGACATGTCCAATTTCAGTTAAGATTCCATTTAGAATGCCTATGAGCATCCCATATTGGAGAACCTTTTTGAGTTCGGCTCTGCTTCTGAATCCGGCTTCCTGCTAATTTGCACAATGGGAGACAGCAGGTGATGGCTCAAGTACTTGGGTCCCTGTCACTCTCATGGGAAACACTACGTGATTTCCAAAGACCTGGTTACAGCCTGGCAAAGACTTAACTCTTGCAGGCATTTGACGAATGAACCAACCAGTAGATGAAGAAAGATACCTCTTTCTCTCTCTCTCTCTCTCTCTCTCTCTCTCCTCTCTCTGTCTCTGAAACATGAAAACTAAATAATTTTTTAAAAAAAGATAAGAGATTTTCCATTCCCCCAGGCCCACCTTGCCATTGCTCCCTGAATCCAAATTCCTCATTCCTGCATTCCTAGCACTACCCCTGCTCCTCTCCTCTTGTGTTTGAATGGTCATTCCTCCTCTTCGCCTGGCCAAATCCTTGCTAATCCTACTCAAATCTCAGCCCAACCTTCCTCCCATTCTAACTCATGGTGAGTTTTCTTTCTCTTCTGGACTCCTGGCTGCTCTATCCATTCGATGCATTAACTGATTGTCTTCAACTGTTGTATACATTTGCTCATGTTAGACTTGGCTTTCAAACCGAATTTTAGTTGGTGTGAAAATGGAATCTGCATCTCACAATTTGTTTTCCTCTACTCTCATCATTGCCACACATACTATGGGTAAGAAATTTTATTTTGTTACTTCTTTATTTCAAAATAAAAGCCTGTGTTTCACAGGTAATCTTTTTTCATATGTTATCTGATATTAACAATGCTAAAGATGAGGGGGAAAATGAGCTAAACTATAAAAGCTCCACTGTAGATTTACCCACTTTACCAATACATGTCCCCTGTTTATTTCTGACAATTGTCTTTATTTGTAAGGAACAATAAACTGTCTTTTTTTTTATAGAAATTAGGATCACTGTCAGATAAAAAGCAATTCTCTCGTTTAAGAACTCTTCTTACCTTCATTCTTCTGAATGCAACCTCAGATAATAACAGATGTTTCTGAAGTTCAAAGGCCAAAGAAAAAGCAGATCCAAATGTATCCTTCTTTCATTTTATTGAAAAGAAATTATTTCTATTCTAGCGCAAACAATGTATATTTTACATCATAAAGCAAGATATAATTTACATATTACATTTCTTATGAGATCTTTAAACCCTAAATGCCATTCCCTTTTTTGGTTAGGTCACTTCTTCTGGTTTAATTTAACCTGCCAAGTACACTACAGATCAGCATCATGTTTGAGGAGGGACTGGGGACAGAGAAGACACAGTTCAAATGTACTCATCTGTATCTAGATGTGATGGTCAGGAACCAAGAATATGCCTTGAAGTTTGTGGCCCTGAGGCCCTCTCTGACAACAGGCTTGAGAGCCAGAGGCTACTCCTCCATATCACATATCAAACTCACACTTTAAAAAAATCGACAATAAGTGAATAAAACTGAAGAGTGCATTTACTACATATATATTTCTTGATCAAGTGCTTATTAATTGATGCCTGTGGTGCTGGCTCACCAGTAAGGAGCATCCTTATGGATGATCAGCCCTAGTTAGTGGATGAGATTCTCAGATGGCTCTTGCCCAAGGCATTGGATGAACCTATCCAGTTTACCTACCATTTGGGTGCATGAATTCAGGCTTTTCTGTATGCCATGGTAAATGGATACCCAGATGAAGACCCTACTTCTCGCTACCCACCTTGTAAGAGTGCCCCCTTCTTGGCAAAATCTTTTCATGTGTAATTTCTGTTCTCTGAAAATAACCCAAAGCTTTCAGCTGTTTATCCCATACTCCAAACGCCCAAAGTTTACCCATTTCTTGGATTGCACTCCTTCAGAATCAAAGAAAGTTTCCTTCTGTTAGGATATGCTGTTCTTTTGAAACTTGATGATCCACAGCAACTTATTGGATAAAAGAATGAGTCAAGGGACTCTTATAGTGAAGCAAGTAATGCGAGTTGTTCAGCCAGACTCTATGAACAATTCAGTAAGAAATATTTTAATAGTGGACTAAAAGAAGAGGAAATCAGTTGGTGAAAGCAAAATGCATATTATGGTTTTCCTTCTTATTAAAGAAGCAACAAGTCAATACTTGATATACATTTTCAGATTGGTGGTTGTTAGACTTAAGAATGCATCACCTTAGCTCAATCAGATATGCCAAGGGAAATACAGATGTGTGCTGAAAGTGCATCTTAAACACAACTTTTCTTGCCTGTCACTCATAGTACAAAAGTGGGCATAACTCACCAAAATCAATCTAAAGGCTTTTCATCAGTGCTGACTAAAATTATTACAACCAAGCTGGCCAAGATGAGAAGAGAAGTTAAAAATATGTGTATTCTGTGTGTCTTAAATTATTCTTTGGTCAAATGATGTGATTTTGAGAGATGTGAAAATATAAAATCATTTCTCATTCCCAAATACAAGGTTATAAGTATGTGTAGCAAGGTAGCATTTCCTTGCTAGAAGACAAGGCTTCCAGGACTCATTTAATTCCATTAACATGATACAGTTTTATCATTCCTTTCCTCCCACGGCTGCAAAGTGCTGGACATACAGAGAATACAGGAAAGAATGAAGGAACAAGTGAGCAGAGCCTCACAACACCCCTGTGAGGTAGGTAAGTACTGTTTAAAAACCCATTTTACAAACAGGCAAACTGAGGCACAGCATGGTAATGTGGTTTGGTCAAATCCACCTGGCACGTTGCAAAAGCATGGCTGGGAACAAACAGAAAGAGATAAAGGAAGATCAGTCCTGGTTCCCAGCCCTAGAGGCTAAACTTTATTTCAAAATATTCAAAGGTAAAAATAACCCATGATCTCCTTTGACATTTTTGGAATCTCGACAATTCTTTAAGTATTGTACTTAAATATGTCTCTTTCATACTACTGCTGATTGGAGGAAGGACAGATGACCACATGGCTTTCCTTCCAAGTGTAATTCCCAGGGTAGATCAGAATATGTCAGCGTTCCACCAGAGCACAGTCTCTAAGTTTAAGGACACTTTCAGAGCCTCACATAAGTTCTAATTCATTTAAAGCCCTAATATGAAAATGGGATATTGTCAAAGAACTGTCCTATCAGTTGCTCGGTGGTCTTAAGAAGAAGTTTGTGTAGAAAAAGAAAAGAAGAAAAATCCCTAATCAATGTCTCATCAATGCAGAGATGAGGACAGTAGTGATGGTGTGAACTTTGCTCTTTGTAGTGTTTGAGAAACTGCAAACTCATGCTTGCAATATTTTATATATATATATAAAATATATAAATATATACAGTATATATATAAGTGTGCATCTGGCTATCCTTAAGGCACTGAAGATATGTAGGCCATGCCTTTCTCAAATCAGTTTTTGTTTTCCTAGAGAAATTTCTCTTCCTCTGTCAAGTGAAAAATATTTCTTCTCTCAGATAGCCAGTGACAGCAAGTTATTCAAACACTGGAATTATCTTTAACTTAAGATGGCTGTTCGAATAAGGGTGAGGAGTAGTGTTGATGGTGACAATTAGAATCTATAGCTTAGAGCTTAAATCTAGAGCTTAGATCTAGAGCTAACCAGACACACCCAATCACATTGGATCAGACAGGCCTATGACCAGATGTTATACACAATTTCCTTTTCCCCAGTAACTGATGGAAAAACCTTCCCATGACCAACAGATATGGAGACAATGAGAAAGGGAATCGTGCCTGGCAAAGATATTTCAGAAAAACTTAGGCTTTGCAAAAGCTCTTAGAGCTTCCAAAGAACTGGGAAGATGACAGAATAAGGCACTGAGGTTCAAACAGGTGAAGAAGACTGCAGGCAACGATTCTGCAGTCAGATACATATGGTTTCTTTGGCTGCTGTAGACTTTTTTTTTTTTAAACTTCATACAATCATGGGAGTGGGTGGGCTGAGTCTAACTGAAGAAGCTCAGAATATATTAAGCAAAGCATGAATAGAAAGAAAAACAAAATAAACACACACAGAAACAAGTGGTGGTGGTATCCCAGAGGGAGGAGGAACATTTGTTAACTAATTTTCATTTTGCTCCTCTCCTGCTTTTCTCTGCCATGGTCCCAATATTTAGTTCTGTTTTTTATTTGTTTTTACTTTTTTTTTTCCAGCAGATGAAGAAATGACAGAGCAGGATAGGTGTCTTATGGTTTTTGATTTCTTCTTAGGCCTGTTTAATTAATTTTTATTCCTCAGTTGACTGTTGGCACCTGGTTCCTCTGTAAACTATATTCCTTGGCCTTCAGTCTCAGGTTGGCAATGCTGTTGGCCATGTTGATGCCCTGTGCAGGGCTATTGTTGGCACATGTGGCAGAATAAGTAGCCATGGCGCTGTAGGGACAAAGGAGAGAGCAGGGAGAATAACAGGCATTAGTTTCACGAAGCTGCATGTCCATGCCCCAGATGGATATACTCTCACGATGGGGGCAGGCAAGGGAGGGTGGGTTGAACTAGATGACCTCTGTGGTCCCTTACAGCCCCAGCTTTCCATTAATCTAAGGCATTTGGAGAAGGGTGGCCATGTTTTGAAGGGCAGGGTAAAGCAGAGGAGACTGAGACAAGGGGAGAGAGAAAGAGAGATTTGCTGTGTTGGATACAGTGAGTAATGATTTATTTCTGGGGTGAGAGGAGAAAGTTGCTCAAGTTGAATGGCAGGTGTTTAATCAGCTGACTAATTAAAACATTACTTAATCTTTCTTCCTGCCCACATGGCCAGCCTGTGGGGGCAGTGAGAAGAGAAGCAGGCATTTAAAAACAAACTAAAGAGAATTTTGTTCTTCATTCTAGGCAGCTGATCTTCTCATAGATTTTAACGAACAAATACCATAAAGAACAGTGTGCTTGGAGAATAGGTTAAGCAACCCAAGATAGTGTCTCTGCCATTCTTGCTTCACTGGTTGCTAGTACCAAGCACTGCCGAGTCAAAAGGTTTCTATCCCAATTGTCTTGATTTTGTACCCTCTCCTCAAAAGCACTTGAGTAACACACACTACCCTTGGGTCGGTTATTTTGGAAATATTTCAGTCTCATAGATAAATTTTCAATGGCTCCAGTTTAAGCATTTCTGACCTAACTGTTTTCACTGTCCTTAATGGCTAAGAAACACCTGAAGTTGTTTTTCATTATCAGAGATTATAATTAAGACCTAGGAACACCAGAAAATTGGGCAGAAATTTGTCATTGGTGGGTTTCTGTTTATTGCATCTATGTATCTCTTTTAAAGAAATGGTTTTGTAGACTTAGATGCAAATTATCTTTTATACTAAACAGTTAAAAAAGCATTCAATTTAAATGAAAATGTTTCTAGTTGTTTCTAAGATTAGCAAATTCCCTTCCAATTGAGGGCTGGACCACGATAGAATTATAAATGGAATGACATGTGCTCTTCTGTTGTCTGCATTCCAATGGACTTTTGTCAGCCACACAGGAGTTTGTGTTTCTGGGGATCAAGTGACAAGATCAGAAAGAGAAAACTAAAGCTACTCTACAAATAGATAGAATATATCACTGGTGCTTATTTGGAACACCATATAGTCAAGGCTCATAAAACCTATTTTAACTCAATTACTAGCAATTGACCCAGGAAAATTAACTTAGAGAAATGTGATTAGTCCCAGATCACTCAGTCCTTCCAGAAATATGTATCTTCAGTTTAAACCTTTATAGCAGTGTTATACGTGTGTGGGTGAGTGATGTGTGCATGTGTATGTGTGTTCTCATAGAAGGAGAAAGACTCAGAAGTTAAAAATAAAAGGATCATACTTTCCTCTATTTCATTTTTTCCTGATTCACCCTTATTCATCATTTCTGAGTAAACAATCATCATCCAGACAAGCTTCAGTTCTTTTTTAGTACCGTGTATATTTGATTTTAGCACCTAATTCAATTTTACTTAATAATCTGTTTAGTACATCTCAGTGTGCTCAACTATAAGTTCCACATCTGCCTTGTTCACAATTGTATCAGCAAGAAGAGCTGCCACCATACCCAGCACAAATTTGTATTCATGAAGTATTAAACAAATAGACAAGTAACTGAGAACTAACTATATATAGTGTGGTTAAATTGATTCCAGCTCAATGGTACTGATCTCTATCATCCTGTTTGAGTAATAATTTCTTTAAAACTCTGATGAATATGCTTTGATTCTTAAAAAATTAATCCTTCCACTAATTATGATATCTTAATAGAAAGGACAAAGTCAAGAGGACATGACAAAAGAGGGGTGAATGATTTCATATTCTTGGTTCCATCAAAACTATTTATTCATAGGGCTGGCATTGTCGCACAGCAGATTAAGCTGCTGCCTGCTATGCCAGCATCACCCTCCAATTCAAGCCTGGCTGCTCCATTTAAGACCCAGCTCCCAGCTAATGTGCCTGGGAAAGCAGCAGCAGATGGCCGAAGTCCTTGGACCCCTGCCACCATCAAGGAGATCCAGCAGGAGGTGCAGGCTCCTAGTCAGCCTGGACCAGCCCTGACCATTGTGACCACTTGGGGAGTGCACTAGTGGATAGAAAATGTCTCTCTGAGTCTCTCCCTCTCACTCAGTAACTCTGTCTTTCAAATAAATAAAAATATATCTTTTTAAAAATACCTCTTCATAGTAGAAAGTGAACAAATGTTAGCACAGTTTATACAATAGACTATAACTTCAGCATTTGTCCACAGTTAGGGTACATTTAACTTAGGAGTCGGATATATGACCAGAACAACCCAGAACAAGGGAACAAATTCGTTTACGTGTACAAAGAAATGTCCTTTGTTTTCAAAGCCCAAATGCTTATCATAATTTAGTTCCTAAATAAAACGCATATTTCCATTCAATATCCTACCAGAGCACAAAATGTAAAAATCTATGCTTAGGAAATTTCTATGATAAACCAAATATCTATTGTTTTAAAAGACAGCTGAGGCCGGCACTGCAGCTCACTAGGCTAATCCTCTGCCTGCGGCACTGGTACCCCGGGTTCTAGTCCCAGTCAGGGCGCCGGATTCTTTCCAGGTTGCTCTTCTTCCAGTCCAGCTCTCTGCTGTGGCCCAGGAAGGCAGTGGAGGATGGCCCAAGTGCTTGGGCCCTGCACCCACAGGGGAGACCAGGAGGAAGCACCTGGCTCCTGGCTTTGGATCGGCACGGCAGCGCGCCGGCCATAGCGGCCATTTGGGGGGTGAACCAACGGAAGCAAGACCTTTCTCTCTGTCTCTGTCTCTCTCTCTCTCTCTCTCTCACTGTCTAACTTTGCCTGTCAAAAAAAAAAAAAAAAAAAAAAGACAGCTGAATTTGGGATAGGTACCTAAGTTATATACTAACATATTAACCAAATCATCCTCTCCCAAACAGGTTTCTGTGAAACAAGTCCTAAAAATGCTACATGTAAAGTGTCAACTTAAAGACATAGGAAAGAAGCTGAAATTCTAAGTATCTGTTTTATGTGTTAAAAACTTAGAATAAAATGAATGACTTCTGAGGCCGGCGCCGTGGCACAGTAGGTTAATCTTTCAACTGCAGTGCTGGTAATCCCACATGGGTGCCAGTTCGAGGCCTGGCTGCTCCACTTCCAATCCAGCTCTCTGCTGTGGCCTGGGAAAGCAGTGGAAGATGGCCCAAGTTCTTGGGCCCCTGCACTAATGTGGGAGACCCGGAAGACACTCCTGGCTCCAGGCTTCGGATCAGCCCAGCTCCGGCCGTTGCAGCCATTTGGGAAGTGAACCAGCAGATGGAAGACCTTTCTCTTTCTCTCTCTCTCCTTCTCACTGCCTGTAGCTCTACCTCTCAAATAAATAAATAAATTCTTTTTTTAAAAAATGAATGACTTCTGAAAACAGAAGTCTAAAACTTCATAAACAGAACACACACAAAAAAATTACCTGATGGCATATTGTAGGTTACCAAGGAGCACAGCACTTAAGTACTTGGACTAATTTTCTGAGGAATGTGTTTTCTGTCTTTCAAGATGCTGGACAGGGAGAGTCCTATTTAATAGAAATTAACCATTTTTCCCACTAATTAAAATGTGTCTGATTTCTTTAGCAGACAATGAGAATTGAGATCTTGGAGGATTTTTTTTTTTTTTTTTTTTTACAGGCAGAGTGGACAGTGAGAGAGAGAGAGCGACAGAGAGAAAGGTCTTCCTTTTGCCGTTGGTTCACCCTCCAATGGCCGCCACGGCCGGCGCGCTGCAGCCAGCGCACCATGCTGATCCGAAGCCAGGAGCCAGGTGCTTCTTCTGGTCTCCCATGGGGTGCAGGGCCCAAGCACTTGGGCCATCCTCCACTGCACTCCCTGGCCACAGCAGAGAGCTGGCCTGGAAGAGGGGCAACCGGGACAGAATCTGGCGCCCCGACCAGGACTAGAACCCGGTGTGCCGGTGCCACCAGGCAGAGGATTAGCCTATTGAGCCATGGCGCCGGCCTTTTTTTTTTTTTTTTTTTTTTTTTTTTGAGGATTGTTTTAATTTATTGAAGATGCTGGGATTGTTTTCCACAAATGTCTACTAGAGTAGTGATTTGTTCATTTCTGCCATAATTACATCATAAGTTTCTGACTTTATCATCTGCTAGTCTAACCTGAGGACTTATAATGGTAACACATTCTTTGAAAATGTTGTTTGTCTCTCTAATACACTCCCGACAATAACATCCCAAATGAGATAAATATTGATCACTTTTCTGACTCAAAACAAATCACTGGAATTAGAATCCTACATTGCTCAGGAGTTTGGATATTCTGCAGAACATTTTTCACTTATATGCAGCCTGTGTTTCTGTAGTAGAGAACAGTTCTTTTGTCCAGTTATAAGGTGGGGGCTGTTGTAGGAACACCATTGTATTAGTGAGTCTGTGACAAAGCCCTTAATGAAGTGGAATGTGAGAATAAATAAGGCAGTTAATCTTAACGAATGAATTCTTCAATTCCCTAGGAGCACAGTAAGTGATAATATGTTTACTTTATAAATATTTACAATAGCTATAAACTTTCCAAAATTGATCTTATTCCAGAATTTCACAGCCACAAGATACAGGATAAAAGAATAGAGATCATCTTAATTCACTGCCTCCTAAGAAACATTTAGAATATATAATCCTACAAATGAGGATTCCAGGGACAGTTGTGCATAAACTAAGGATTGCAAGCACTTTTTTCTTTCAGCAGTTTGACATGGTATAGTTTTTCAACTTAGCTGAATGTGCCACACAGACAAGCACTGAACAATCTTCCGACATACCAGTGACAAGCAAGACTTGCTACAGGTCAAAAAAGGCAGAATTAATGAGTGAGTACTCCAAGAGTAGCTTAGTCATGCTTTAAAAATGGCATTAGCAATAAGATG